CCCCTGATGATCCTCTAATCGCCTGAGCCAAGATAAGGTGGGGCCAGGTTTCACAATGAACTCACCCGAAACTCTGGCTGATTGGGACCCACACCCAGTTCCACACCTTGGCTCAGGTGATAAGAGGATCATCAGGGGGTCCTCCTGAAAATGCACCAATGACATTCAGAGTAACATCCTCCTCTCTGGTCGCTATGGTAACGCGTAAATATTTCTTTCAAAATAAGACGCACAGCTACAACACGGGAAAGACCCAGGGAAACCGAGTTAACGGTAAAAACGCTGAAAACCATAAAATTCACACCGGAGCCTCAACTCTCGCGGCACGGTACCAAACGACTCACAGGGGGCGCTGCACTACACAGAGCGCTGGGGACTGCTCCAAACAGCAGAGAATTTGGGGTTCCTGTTGTGGGAACGTCAATTAAAACCAAACGTGTGCCTCTGGGGCTGAAACTGAAGCTGTGCGGAAGCCCGACAAAAACTGCAGTTCCTGTTGTGGCCACTAGAGCCAGGTTCCAAAAACAAGCCAGTCCCCACAGACGCGCTGTCGCTGTCTCTCAGGCTGTGCACATATTTCTGATGAGGACCCGCGGGGGTGTCACTGCTGACGTGGTGAGGTACATTACCATGCTTCCCAAAGGATCGCAGACTAGGGTGGGGGGCGGATTCCTACCCCCAGCGAGCCCGCTGTTGTTAGGCATAAGTAGCCCAGAGCTGTCTTTGTAATTGGCTGCCTGATCCCGAGCTTCATTAATGGCAACTAGACAACAACTTGTTGTTTGGTTAACTGGGGAACCCACCTGCGCCACTGTTACCTGGCTGATGTCTTCAGGCGTCATTAGGAAAAGCAACAATATTCCCCAGAAGCCTTTAGCTTTGGACAGAGTGAGTCATCTCGTACAAAGTGAGAAGCATATGCATGCAGAGGACTAATTAACACATGACAAGTTGTTGTTCACACGTTAATGATTCCATAATTATCATCCAATACTACACGAATAATGTTTTTTTAATAGCTATATGAAGTATTTTTAAATAATACTTTTTAAATGATATTTGAGCTGCTTCACTGTGGGATCTTCTTGCTTTGTTTTCGTGCTCCCGCCGTTTCAAAATGTCTGGAAACGCCACGATCTGCCAGCCAAAGCTTCTGTGATAGGCAAACGAAGCAACAGACGCTGTTTGGTTAACCAGTGACGCTTCTTTCCACTCGACACTTTTCAGCGACCAGCATCGAAATTCTTTACTGCTAGCCTAAACATGTTTTGTAAGGTCACAGCGACCTTTATCTTTGACCGCCAAGATCTAATCGTTCATCCTTGAGCCCAAGTGAATGTTTGTGGCAGTCTGGCTGAGATGAGAACGAAACATTCTCTGTGAAATCTGTTGAATAAGGTGGAAACGGGATGTTTTATGCTGTAAAAACTAACAAATATGTAAACACGAGCTTTCGGTGCATTCCACGTTATTGTGCACCAGCTAATTATCGTCATGGCTACAAGAAAAGACTGTCAGTTGTAAGGATTTATGTATCAGAACACCAGATGCACTTGATTAAGGCTCCATTAAAGCAGAGGTATCAGCAGTTTGCAGTTCTGGAGCAGTCAGGTGTGTGTTAACACAACGCCAAGGAGGAAAGACATCAGCGCTCATCTTAGAGGAGCAACAGTTGCTGTGCATCAATCTCAGAAAGGTTATAAGGCCGTTTCCAAACAACCTGTAATCCATTGTTGTACAGTGAGAAAGATTCATGACAAAAAAGTCAAGGCAATCTTCAAAGGTTAAGATAAAAGGTTAAAATACAGTTAATTGAATAAGTAGGGCTTCTTTGGAAGGCAGGAGAACGCCTCTTCTCTCTGAAGAACACGGCAGCATAGCTCAGGCTTGCAAAGCTACATCGCAGAAAACGATTACATTACTACATTACTAAAGCATTTGAATTAGATTTTGTTTAACACATGCTGGCACAGTGTAACATGTCAGGTTTTCTTGGATGTACTTTCCTCATTTTAAGACCCGTTAAGGATTAGATCATTTATTAAGTGTCGATATGTAAAAATCTTCCAATAGAAAGTTTGTGCTTTCTTTTTACTGCGCTTGTATATTTACAGCGACGCACTGATGAGCACCAACATGGTTTTTCCTAGAAAAACGGCCCTCCGTGTCTTCCCTGTACTTTCCACCCATGGTTGCATTGTTATGACAACAGTGGGGGGGGGGGCGTTCAGTAGCTATGATCCATCTTTTACAGATGGTCTCTGGTTGTCATTGGCTCCTCACAAGAATCTGATCCACTCTGCAGATCAGAGCCTGTGGCATATTTTTATAGAGTCAAGTAATTCATTCATAACTTTCTGTGCAGTTGTGCATTGTAACAAAAATGCACAGTTGTCCCAGAATCCCTGGATTCATCTCCCAGCTCACCACGGTGTCTCGGCACGCCATTTGGGAATCGCTGATAACAAACAGTTCATAGAAGTCATGCGTACACGTGCAGGGAAAGTCATAATGAGCTCTGCACTCCCTCTGCATGTGGACCGTATCCACCAACACAAAGTAACACCATGCCTCTGTGTCAGCAGCTTTACATCGCCGTTAGAGAAAGCGCAGACGTGACGTCAGCTTCCAGAAAGGCACGGATGTGCCGTAAAGATCAGCTCTGAGTCACGCTGCATTTAGAAATGCCTTCCTGTATTTAAGGCTGTAACACCTCACATGTCTCTGTCTTCTCTGCAGGGCTCTTGCACACGCCAAATTCACAAAGTAAGTAACCGAGACGTGCTCCTGATAAACGAGGTGAAGTCGAGCTTTCAAACAAACTGACCTTTGATATTTCTGTCTCTAAACAGGGAGCTGAAATATGTCATTCAGAGGTTTGCAGAGGACCCTCGGCAGGAGGTGTGTGTGTGTTCAGGTTGATCTCTGCTTTAAGCCTAAGAAAGGAGAGTCACCCTGTATCTGTGCCTTCCAGGTCCACTCCTGCCTGCTCAGCGTGCGTTCAGGGAAAGATGGCTGGTTCCAGCTCTACAGTCCAGGAGGCGTGGCCTGTGATGACGACGGAGAGCTCTTTGCCAGTATGGTGAGTGTATGAACACATGCGCACACGTAAGCATCGACACAGTCATGCTGAACTGTAACGTGACCCACCTCCTGCTCTTCCTCCTCTCCTCCAGGTTCATATCCTGATGGGCTCCTGCTACAAGACCAAGAAGTTCCTCCTCTCTCTGGCTGAAAACAAGCTGGGCCCCTGCATGCTGCTGGCCCTCCGTGGAAACCAAACCATGGTGGAGGTGGATGATTTTCAATCTTTCTACCTTATAACCATGAATTATGTCCTGCAATCCTAAATATATACACATTTTGCAGTTTTGTGTCTTTTTGTGGATTCTTTGGGTCACTATGGGGTGTTTTTGGTCTTATCGCATCACATCTCTGTAATTTATCACTTTCTGGTTGTACGTTTTCAGATTTTGGTCATCCTGCTCATGTCTCTGTCTCTTGGTGGACACTTTTGATCACATCTCTGAGGCCATTTTTTATCTCTTTGGTTTTGTTTGTGGTCATTTAGTGTCACCGCAGTAGTTTGTGTACAGATTTTATCACTTTATAGATTTTCTGCATCACATTTGGTTTGTTGCTCCTCAGCCTCACTTTCCGGTCGTTTCCTCCACTTTTAAGTCACTTTACCTCTTCATGTGGATGTTTCCAGTCTCGTTTTAATCATTTCTTCTTTTAAAATGAGTATTTATTGCTATCTTGTCTTGTTTTTGTTCATTTCTCCACATCTCTCTTTCTGATCATTTCATTATTCTGGACATTTTGACTCTTTGCGGTCGTTTTGCATGGCATTTTGGTCATTTTATTCTCACCTTAGTCTCTGTTTAGTCCAACCATGTGCAGTTTGGGAGTTTATTATTACTATCTGGCATGGCTGTAGCTCAGGAGGTAGTTTAGGTCATTGACTAACTGGTGGTTCGATCACTGGCTGCTCCAGTCTGCATGCCAAAGTATCCTTGGACAACATGCTGGACGCCAAGCTGCTCTAAAAGGATTAATTGGAGGGTGAATGTGAGTCTTAGACATAGAAAAAAGTACTTGTGTGAATTTGTGAATGAGTCAGGTTGAGGAGATTAAGAGTAGGAAATCCATTTACCAACACTGGGCTGCACTATGTGTTGGTTTCATCACATGTTCTGGTGTCTGTGAAGGTTCTCAGTCATCCAGGATGAGAGGTGAAACGTCTCATCCTACTCTTCAAGTAACTTAAAGAAGTCCAGACGCTTTTCTTTGCGAGCTCCTTTGACCACATGTTCTGGTGTTTCAGTACATCAGCAGCTTTAACTTGTGCACGACATGTTTCCAGATCCTGTGTCTGATGCTGGAGTACAACATCATTGAAAATAAAGACACCCAGCTGCAGATCATCTCCACCCTGGAGAGCACCCAGGTGGGGCTCCGCATGTACGAGCAGCTCTGCGACCGACAGAGAGAGCTCAAAGAGCTGGTGAGTTCCACCTCTCGCTCTCATTATTTAGTAGGAGTGCCGAGGCCTGCAGCCTCTGCTGCAGCCGGCGCACGGAAAAATAAAGTCACCAGCTTCTCATTACCGCAAATTCATGTGTCGTCAGTAACGCATGTGACCTGGCTGTAGATAATTGTCAGTCTGCAATTCTAACACACTGGTGCTGGTTGTTGACAGTCTGAGAGGTCATGCACACATTAGGGACAAAAGGAAGACATAAGGTGCATTTACACGCATCCACATGTCAGATATTATGTGTATGAACACGTTTGGATATAAAATCCTGCCGTTTACTCTAAAAATCTTTGGAGGTTGTCGTTTTTTCTTCCTTCAGAGCAGCAGCAGAGACGCGTGTTAGGAGAACCTGATGATAGCTAGAATCTGCAGAAAGTACATGCATGTGAAACTGCCAGTGTGCTTACAATGTATGGTTATCACACACTTTTCAAATTCACAGTAAAGTTCAGACTCTTGTACTCTTCTCCAATTATAAAAGTTTGTGTTTTTTAGCATATATTTGATATGAATGTCACTACATTTCCTGAGATGATTTACACATTTTACATTTTATATTTAAAAATCTGAAAAAGCATGTTATGGAAGCAAAGCAGTCTAAATCTGTAAAATTAACAACTTTATATTAAAAAAAAAGCGTCTGCTTGTTACTGCTGTCATAGTTCTGTTAAAATAAGCGATAAAACAACACATTTATCTAATATTTGCTTAACATACGTCATTTACGCTGATATGTAGACTCCATTCATTTGCAATTCAAATAAACAAGTCTATATCCCATAACTTATCTCGCCTCCTATTTAAAAGGCCTTCCCAGTAACCAGCTGGTTACAGCGGTACACCGTTATCTCTCAATAAACTCGAAATGCAGTGTTACATAATTGAATAAAATGAGAATAGAGCTAAAACAAAATGTGCTGCCGTTTAAGATTAAAACGTAATAATCTGTCTCCCAATTGATGACGCAGAACTGAATGTCATCAGCAGGTCATTGCTGTGCAGGCCAACAGAAACACCACGTTTATGTTATGCAGGAGAATAAGTTTTTATCAGTGGTTCTAACTGAAGCAGGATGGGAGCATTTTTAAAGCATCTTATCACTGAAATGAAACACGAGGTGCTCAGAGACGCCTCAGTGGGAAACGCCTGCAGCTGCTCACACGTGCCATCTACTGTTAGCAACGATTCCTGCAAGGCCTCAAGCTCAGACGCCATCTTTCTTTCTATTTTCTCCTCAGCAAAGAAAAGGAGGCCCTACCCGCCTGACTCTGCCCTCCAAGTCCACGGTGAGATCGCACTGCTGACACAGACACAGTCTTGGAAAAGACGCAAAACTCTTGATTTGACTCTTACAATAACCTGTCATCACCTCTCTAGGATGCGGACCTGGCCCGCCTGCTCAGTTCAGGTTCTTTTGGGAACTTGGAGAACCTGAGCCTGGCTTTCACCAATGTCACCAGTGCCTGTGCTGAGCAGCTCATCAAGCTGCCTTCACTCAAACAGCTCAACCTCTGGTCCACACAGGTAAACAGACCCAACACAAACAGCTGCACAAGAAAATCATGACCGTCTATGAGTCTACAGATGCCTAACAGCTGCCCTTTCCTTGCTTTGTTCCATGCTTCAGTTTGGGGATGCAGGACTGAGGTTGTTATCCGAGCATCTGGCCTGCCTTCAGGTTCTGAACCTGTGTGAGACTCCCGTCACTGATGCGGGTCTCCTGGCGCTCAGTTGTAAGACATCTTGCATAGGAAGCATTTTTATGACACAGTGAATGTCCTTGATAGTGTGTGTGTGTCAACTCTAAGTGCAAATGTCTGTTTCAGCCATGAAGAGTCTGTGCAGCCTGAACATGAACAGCACCAAGCTCACAGCAGACACATACGAGGACCTCAAGGTAATTCAGTCAGTGTTAAAGGTTCTTTAAAGGTTCCTGCTGTTCTGTTTCTGTGTGGCACCTAATGCTAAATGAATGGAAAAAAGCATGCCTCGGGACCTTTATCGCTTTGAAGAGAAGTCTTATATCTGATGTCTGCACAGATTAATTTTGAATGGACTGATAGATGCATATATATTTTTTGTATTAATACAGTGAAAATAAGTGGTTTTGACAAAGCCAACACCTGACCCCATGATGGCTAAAACTGTCAATTAGATCATTTAACATTAAGCTGCACAATCCCTCGAGGCGGTCGAGGCAGTATCGTCACATAATATATGTAATATGTAACTGCACCAGAAATTTCCATCCACTGTTTATTCTTCCTCTCACATGGAGTGCAGCTAGCGAGCACTAACAATGCTCGGAGGGGTCATTTGTTTACTTTTGGGCAGCACATCAGCAGCTGCTAGCATCTCCTCCTCGTGTGCCTTCATAGCCTGGCTGTACTCAGCAGTGTGTTTTTGTCACCAGTGGTGAAACGAGTTGTTTTCACCTCTTGTAGGAACAGTTTTCTTGCCAGTGATTGTGCTGCCTTGAAGGGTGTTTAGGTAGCTCTCGCTCTCAGACATGTCTGGGCTTGCGTTGTTGTTGTGCATGCTAAGGAGCTTAGTGTGTTCTGTCCTTTCTCCAATTTCCTTCAATGCACATATTAAACAAACATGTAGGACTGCTTTCTTCCACTTGCACAGTATCTCTAAAATTAGAACCATCCTGTCTCAGAGTGACGTAAAATCCTTCTCATCACATACAAGGTCTTGAATATTCAGGCCCCTTTTATCTTAAAGACTTCGTTGTACCGTATCACTCCATTAGAGCACTTCCCTCTCACACTGCGGGCTTACTTGTGGTTCTGGTGACCCTCAATCCTCCCTTTGCTGCGCTGCACAGCACTAGGCTGCTGGGCTTCTCGTGATGCACTGAGTGTTTCTCGTTCAGTCTGCTCTTGTAGGAACAGTTTTCTTGCCAGTGATTGTGCTGCCTTGAAGGGTGTTTAGGTAGCTCTCGCTCTCAGACATGCCTGGGCTTGTGTTGTTGTTGTGCATGCTAAGGAGCTTAAACACAGCTTTGTCGATGTTGCTGGCTCACCTTTATCACTGGGACTAATGCTAAAATATTGACAAACAGTAGTTGTTAAAATAGTTGGTGTACTACTTCCTGTTTCCGTGTTTCACAGCTCTCTGAGCTCAGCTGCACTTATCGCTATTAAAGACTGCTCTCTGCTGGTGTTTTTCATGCAACACATCAGTGCATCTCCATCAGTTGTTTGGTGCTTTAGTTAGTTATTGTATACCCTCCACTGAATCTTTAAGCACAGTTATGAATGAAATCCCTCCATGAGCCTGGTTCTGCTGGAGGTTTCTTCCTGTTAAAAGGGAGTTTTTCCTTCCCACTGTTGTCAAGTGCTTTCTCACAGGAGGGTCGTTTGATTGTTGGGGTTCTTTCTTTATTATTGGACCTTTATCTTATAATTTAAAGCGCCTGTTTGAATTTGTTGCTGTTTAAATAAAACTGATCTCAACTGAAGTGTATGTTGTTTGTGTTCCTCTCCAGGCCAAACTGCCTAACCTGAAGGATGTTGATGTTCGGTACACTGAAGCATGGTGATCGGCCGAGCTTTCAGCAGCCCCTTTACATGCCGAGACACACACAAGCACGATCACACACCGCACACAAGCTCACACACACATTACATCGACGCCATCATTACACCAGGAACCCTATCATCACCCGGCCTGAGGATCACCCCGTCTGATTAGACGCTTGCTACGAGGAGGAGCCGTCACCAGTTTCATCACCGATCCCACAAAGTGACACCGTCACCGGGAAGGAACTTTGTGAAACTCGTCGCTCCTCATACCTCGAAGTTGTTTTTTTGGTTTTTTTACAAACGACATCAGAGAACGAGAGGACCCGATGTACTGAAATACTGGAACCCTGCTCTCTCTGTCCGTACCCTTTGCCCCGTCCTTTCATACGTAGTCTCTCAGTTTTTATAATCACTTTTTTTTTTCCCTCTCTGCGTGTGCACCTCATAATGAAATCCCGAATCGAGGAAGGCTCCACCTCCCCGGAGCCTCTCGCTGGCGTTTGCCCCTCATGGAACGAAGGCTGGACACAGCAGCTCGCCTTCCAGTTCGTCTTTGATCCGATCCACGATGTAGCTCTCCCGACGGACGCGGTCAACTGTTATCGAGTCCTCGCTCTCTCTTCGCTGTCAGTTTTCAGGATCAAATTCCGGCCTTTTCCAATCTTTCACTGGGAAAATGAGGTGCTACCTCAGAGAAAAGAAGACTGTGCCTACTCCTCATGTACAACTCGCGAGAAGGAGAAAAAGAAAACAAAAACGGTTTTTATCAACTTGAATTAACATATTTTTCCAGACATCTGTGCTTTCATATATTGTGTCTTTCTATAGAAAACATAAGGAGATGCCCACCTCCCTCCCCATCACCTCCCCAACGATGACATTTTGGGAGCTCTGCAGGAATGTCAAGGGTGATGGCAATATGTGGTCCTTTTTAAATTGCCTTCAGTGTGCGTGCTGAAGCTCTCCTGTTTCTATTTAATAGGACAGTTGTGTAGCAGTAGCTGGGTGGTCTGGGACTGACTGATATTTATAAGTTGTCTTTAAAACCTCTGACACATTGTCTTTCCTGGATTTCGTTGGGAGGTATCAAAGTACACAGCTATTTGGGTTTTTTTGCATCGCATTATCCAAGAAGCCCTCGCAGATCGCCGCCGCACATGGACGTCCGTGTACCAAAGCCGCGGTGGCAAACTTCAGAGTGGACTTCTGAAATCGGACCTGTTTAAACCAGACCCATCACCAGCTGAGAGTTGTATATTTTCATATCCCCCCTTTGCTCTCGTTTTCGGTCCCCGCCGTGCAGGTGCTTTGGGATGCTTTTGAAGCAAAGAACTCGCCAAACGTCTTTACTCTGCTTTGTTTTTTTGAGGCAAACCTGAGCGCGGCGTCGCCCCCCTTGACGCCGTTTGCCTCTCCGACCCCCTTTTCTGAGCGGAGGAGTCGCAGTGCCTCTAGCGGATGAGTCACTTGTCTTTTTACCTGTCCCACGACCTGTTTTGAATCACTCTGCTGTATTTATATTACGCCATATCACGTGGATGACATTTTTAGGCTAATTCTTATCAGAGGATGGGACAAAATTCTTGTACATATTCGATCACAATAAGGGACGAGTAATCGGGGAGGGTGGGGCACCTTCTATTTGCCTGTGTACATTCCCTCAAAGTGTTGCCTGTTTGTTGTGGCAGCGTTTCATACGATGTGGTAACTGCCCTGACACACTGCAAGTCTGTCAGAATCGATCTCCCCGTGTGCGCGTGGTTTGGGCGGATTTGTCTTGGAAACTCAAGGCAAGCGCAACTGCATCCATCCATTTTATTTATTCGTGTCGACCTGGGCGACGCTCCAGATGCTTGTTGAATCAGAGGACAGGACGCCGTCCGCTACGAAGCGCTTTGTTTCCTATTTATTGGGTGCCACGACAGGTTTCTGTTTGGCCTGTAGGTGCGGTTTGTGTACGGCCATCTCCGGGTCTAGCTTTAGGACATCGTGCTCTTTTTTCATATCCTGTATGATGTACATATGAGTGTATATAGTCGTCTTCTTCCTTTCTCTCTTTGAACCATTTTTGAATCCTCGCCCTTCTTCATCTCCTTTGTTTTTCTCTCAGCCTCTTCTTCGGCTGTTGTTGCCTTCATCTTAATGTGTGTGTGGTTTTTGTTTTTCTTCTTTTCACACAAAGTGCTCTGTAATCTAAAAAAAACTGTTTTCAACGCGTGTTATATTTTATGTTTCTCTCATTCGATCACTTTAATCAAACATTTGTTTCCGGTGTTTTTGTTGTTTTAAGGTTTTTTGCACGTAAACGTTGCCGCGTCATCGGATATGTTTTTTCGTTATTTTGTAATTTTGTTTTGTAAGAATACCATAAAGGGTTTGATCACTATCTCACCAGGTTGAGGACTGAAATGGAGAGATCCCATCCGGCTGTTTTGTGATTGGTCGTAGCCAGGATCTACCCATGAGCCTGCTGTCTGAGGCAGTTAAAGCTTTGTTCATGTTGATTTTCTAAAACAGCCAACGACACTTGGCGCCTTTGGACTGAAGCCGAGATTTAATCATTTAAACGATGGCCATTTTTTTATATCACGAATCGTATCGTATGTGGACGCTGACTGTGATCATATTAAATAAAGTTGGTGATTCCACACATCAGCGAACCGATGATTCAGTCTGATTTTACTGCAGCTGTTTTTATCCCCGATGGTTTTGAAGGATGAACGGTTTGACTCTATTTTAAGAGTGACGTGAAGAATCCTGATATCACGTTTATCTGGTTGACGTGAAGCCACAGCCATCGGCTGGTTAGCTCGGCGTATCAGGAGAAATGGTTACCTTGACTTTATCGAAAGGTAAAATAGTCCTTCCAATACAGAGTTTCAGATAATGAGGTATGTGCTTTTTTCTGGTCTAGGGTCTTTATGATGTCATGCTGGAGGGGGGAGGAGCTAAAACAGACTAGAATGGTTTTCTCGCGCTGCTTCCAAGGCACACAAAGGACGGGGGAAGAAGTCTAAATGGATCAAAACTCCAGCTACGCTATTATTTTAACCTCCTAAGACCCGAACTCTTCCACAGCAGCATTTTTAATTTCTCTTTGATATTTGGGCAGATTGGGGCCCAATTTTTACCTGATTTTGTTTCTAAGAAAAATCAGAGCCACAAATGAGGATATTAGTTTCAAATTTTCGATAGAAAAGTAGCAGCATAATGTCCTCGTAAGTGGATATCAGGGCCTTGTAGAGCAAAATTTAGTATTTGGTCTAAATAACCCAAAATATGATGTCCACATATGTGGACGCCAGGTCCTAGGAGGTTAAACATCCTTGTTGCTAGACCAGTGTGCTCGTGGCCTTTATGGGGGTTGTTACAGGGTGCACGACTAATGCTATTAAAATAAGATAAAGCAGAAAAACAAACATCACCCGGTGGGCTCCAGATTGTGATGCAGCTTTTAGGCTACAAGCAACCTGCAACACAACACTGAGCTTCAGTGCAGCGTAGGATCTTTTTCCTCCAGAGACTGTAATAGCAGGGAAACTGGCTGAGGTAACGAGCTTGGCTGTAGCTTCACCCTTAATCCCAGAGGTAATTCATCAAACTTGACGTGAAAGCAGATGAGCCCATTTCCCACAGTGGGCTGTTTTGGGCCACGTTGACTTGTCCAAACTGTGAGCCTGGGGTCCAGCATGTTGAGATTATTATTATGTTTATTTCTTTTATTTTTTTAAGTGTTACTATAGAACATGTGCTGGTTGAAAAGTACCGTCTCTCCTGTTCGGCCATGTCTCCTGTTTCCTGTGGAGCTCACTGAGCTTTCCTCCCCGTTCATCTGTCACCTTTTTTTAATAAAAAAACCCCATTTTTTTGTAAAGTTTCTACCACACCTGCGTCATGTACAGCTGTGCTCGAGTCTTAACCGTTGTTATGGAAGGAACAGGGTCAGACAAACCTGACAGACTGAAAAAAAAAATGCAACTACTTCAACTTTATTTCCCATTCCTTGTAGTAAAATCATTTTGTTGGCAGCTGGAAAAGGGGCGCCCGTCATGTTTCTCTCTCTTTTTCAGTCTTTCGGTCGCATTGATCTGCTTCTCCTGCCGAGTTATTATTATTATTGCTGCTGCTGCTGCTCTGTGGCTGTTGTAATAAAAATACAAAAGATCTTCAACAGGAAAATAACAACTATGATGTGAAATAATTTCAATCAAAAATAAATTGTCTGTGAATATGTTATCAACCGGGTGTGTTTTTTCTTTTCTTC